GAGTGCAAGCATGAATGAAAAATGCTGTTTGCTTGGATGTGCAAGACTCTAGGGGGACCCAATTTATCAGCAATTCCTAAGGGGGTAGTGCTACAGTTAGAAATCCATGAAACTCTTCCCCAACTTTGCCAGTGATACACCTGCCAGTTTCCATGTATGAATCTTTTTTAATAACATAGTGACACCAGTGATTATGTGTCAGATTGATGTGCTTGTTCTTTTTTTTTAGTTCTCTTCAGTTACTGCTTCAAATATAGAAGAGAAACAAGAAAGTGAGCGCTCCCACATCAGCAGCCAATGCACCCAAGGCAATCACAGCAAAACCTTCAAAAATACACAGAAAATAAAGTGCGGCGCTAATAAATATGACATAAGATCCGTAGACCCATAGGTCTCAGATAGTCTAAAAAGACACTGTGATGTATAACAGAAATAATGACCAGTACTTCAGATAAATAATGTAAATAGTAATGTCCAGGCGAATAAACGCAGGATCTTGCATAGAAGCTAGTAAGCCCAGGATCAAATGGTAAAATTGCGCACTCACCGGACGCGCTATATAAAAGCGCATATGTAGTATGACCCCTGGAAATCCCTCATCAAGCGGGTACAGTGGGTAACCATCCGGGAACAGGCGATTCTTGGTAAAAAAGGGACAGCTTCCAAATCCAGAGATCCTCTTTAGCTTAGGTCAGGGGTGTCCAAACTTTTTTCAAAGAGGGCCAGATTGGATGAAGTGAACATGGTGGAGGGCCGAACATTTTTCCGAACATTCTTTGAACCATTACAATTAAATGCAAATAAATTATTTTATGCCAAGTTAATTGCAAACGACATACTTTTCATTTCATAACATTAAGATCAACTGACAGCTGAGTTTTCACAATGGATTGAAAATAAATTTTAAAAAAACTTACCTGCACTAATGTGAAGGGTGAAAAAGGCAGCTGGAGCTGAAGTCTCTGCTCGGCAGCCGGGAGGGGAAGAGAAACACACTTCACGCTGGAAGCCCGGCCCTGACGTCACCGCCCTCTGTCGCTCCCAGCGCAGCGCAGTCATGCATACGCACTGCTCTCAAGCAGAAGACTGTCTGCCACAGAAGGGAGGGCCGTGCGACAGCCGCATTTACACAGACCAGGGAGAATGCGCCGCAGTCAGGCATGCGCACTGCCCTCTGCTCTCAAGCAGAAGACTGTCTGCCATAGAAGGGAGGGCCGTGGGAGGGCCACATTACACAGAGCAGGGAGGGCTGTTGGAGGGCCGTATTAAACCGACCCCCGGGTCGTAAATGGCCCGCGGGCCGGACTTTGGACATGCCTGGCTTAGGTGAATCATGAGCGAGGAACTCCCTCCGGTGGCCAAAATAGATAAGGTGTCCTAAAAATTGTGTTAGCTCCAAATAGGAGCCAAAAAAACACCTCATAGTGTAGTAGGTAAAATCAAGAACATTTATTCCAAAATTAGTAATAGTAAAACAGGGCAGAAACACTTAATCAGTGAATGAAAAAAAATTAATAGTGTGACTGACCAAAAGTAATATGGCCGCCGGGCCTCCTCGTGGCTCCGGGCGGCTACGATGTCACGCTCTGCTGGTTCCTCCTAAGGCCTTTCGTGCTCCAGCACATCATCAGAGGGGAGGCCGGTGAGTGCGCAATTTTACCATTTGATCCTGGGCTTACTAGCTTCTATGCAAGATCCTGCGTTTATTCGCCTGGACATTACTATTTACATTATTTATCTGAAGTACTGGTCATTATTTCTGTTATACATCACAGTGTCTTTTTAGACTATCTGAGACCTATATGGGTCTACGGATCTTATGTCATATTTATTAGCACCGCACTTTATTTTCTGTGTATTTTTGAAGGTACTGCTTCAAATATACCTTATGCTTTAAAAAGTTGAAAGATCTCCGCCACACTGGAGTCTTGGTTTTAGAAAATTGAACATTTGTTTTCACATGGTCTCTGATCTGTAAGAACTTTTCAGCATTGATCTTTTTTTTTTCTTTATTACTACTATGAACATTTTTAGGGGCATTTTCTGAAAGCAGTGGGCCTGTGTGCAAAATGAATTGGTCCCCCTTGACTGTGAATGAGAAAATGCCTCCAAAATGGGAGTGTTGTTAATTGTGCTGAATACTGGGCATGCCTTAAAGAGACGTGGTTACACAGAGTCGGAGTTGACTTACATATAAAAAAAAATATAAAATGAGTGTTGAATACAGGGTTGCCACTTCATCCCTTTAAAACCAAGCACATATTAACCTCTCCACGCTGAGCGAATGCAAAATGTGCGGCCTCTCGGCGGCAGGGCCTTGACGTCGAGTGGCCGCATATTTGCGTACCATTTGTAAACAAACGTGCTGAGAAAGCGCGCGACCACGGAAAAGTCCCGATCTCTCCTTGCGATCGGGACCTTTCCTATCATGTGACTGCCGTGTCAGCCAATCACGGTGTTCACATGACCATAAACCCCTGCCCGCCTCCCGGCGTCAGAAACCCCATAAAGGGCTAGGAGACTCCAGTGTGAAGGGGTTAATTAACACAGTTTCTGAGGCCAATTCAATGCAGATAAGGCACTAAGTGAGTTTAATTACCACCTTAATCAACCCCAGAACCTGTGTCATTAATATGTGTTTAGGTTTAAAGGGATGAGGAGGCAACAATAGTTGAATAGGAAATGTACAGCACAGTGTCTGTGGAGGAGCCAGGGCCTAAGATTAGATGGTGAGTCACTTGTTCAGGGGTTAGTAGTAGTTGGCTTGCTTACTACTGACCCCTGACCTTGGTGCAATTTACTACTAACCTCTAACATTGTGTCATTTACTAATGACCCCTGAAATTTATATCACTTCCTACTGACCTCTGAACTCTGCATCACTTACTACTGACCTCTGAACCCTGCATCACTTACTACTGACCCCTGAACTCTGTATCACTTACTACTGACCCCTGAACTCTGTATCACTACTGACCCCTGAACTCTGTATCACTACTGACCCCTGAACTCTGTATCACTACTGACCCCTGAACTCTGTATCACTTACTACTGACCTCTGGACTCTGCATCTCTTTACTACTGACCCCTGAACTCTGTATCACTTACTACTGACCCCTGAACTCTGCATCACTTACTACTGACCCCTGAAATTTATATCACTTACTACTGACCTCTGAACTCTGCATCACCTCACCTACTACTGACCCCCTGAACTCTGCATCACTTACTACTGACCCACCCCTGGACTCTGTATCACTTACTACTGATCCCTGAACTCTGCATCTCTTACTACTGACCTCTGAACCCTGCATCACTTACTACTGACCCCTGAACTCTGTATCACTTACTACTGACCCCTGAACTCTGTATCACTTACTACTGACCCCTGGACTCTGCATCTCTTACTACTGACCCCTGGACTCTGCATCTCTTACTACTGACCCCTGAACTCTGCATCTCTTACTACTGACCCCTGAACTCTGTATCACTTACTACTGACCCCTGGACTCTGCATCTCTTACTACTGACCCCTGGACTCTGCATCTCTTACTACTGACCCCTGGACTCTGCATCTCTTACTACTGACCCCTGGACTCTGCATCTCTTACTACTGACCTCTGGACTCTGCATCACTTATTCTTGAACCCACATCTCTTTATCACTTACTACTGACCTCTGTGTCACTGCTGACCCCTGAAATCATTACTGAACTCTATGTCCCTTACTAGTGACCCCTGAACTCTACAATGCTTGCTACTGAACTGATCCAGTAGGTGGGTTTATATTACAGATAATCATAACCCTCATAACCAGGGAATAGTAGAAGGAGGAGAAGTTCTGGAGCTGCAGAGGAGGAGAACAGAGATAAGCCAATCATGACCCCACTCCCACTACTCCCTATGCTGACCCTCCCCAGCAAATAATGTTTCTGCTGCAGCTACAGAGGAAACACAAAAGGGGGATCAGAAAGGTGTTTTCCCCACATTTCTTGTGCAATGTGTGATGGCACAGACTATGAACTAGTAAGCAGCTCATGAATCATTCAATGTGTTCAGCACATTTTTACTCAGTATCAATTTCTTATTATATTAGGTGGGCATCCCATTTCTCCAATCCCAAAGGAAGCCATTTTTTAGGAAACGCATTGGGCGGAGTCTTTCTGTGACGTCACCTCGCACGAGCCATTGGACTGACGACGCGGCCTAATTGTCTATATGTTTTGCCATTGCTCTCTTTAACTCCTCTGAATGTAAGTACAATACTTAAGTTTTAAATAAACATCTGGAACAGGGTTGCACTATGAAGTCTTCTCTTGTTTCAACCCTTTCATACACCGTTGAGGAGAGCGGTATGAAGTGGTGAAGCCGGTTCCTGGTGGGAACATGCAGTGGTTTGCTGTAGTCATCCATCCTTCTTGGATCTGTCAGCGTGGAGTTTGGACACTATCCACTCCTTTGATCTCTATAGCTTGAGGTCAGTTTGGTTCGGTAAGAGGCTTGCCTGTTTCTTTGAGGAGCACCTTTTCAGGACAGCAGCACTTTATTGGAAGATACATTTGGCACGCAGCACTTTTCCTTCACATTGGATTTGGGGATTTATATGCTTTTATATTTATTTGTATCACATTGCACTTTATATGAAACATTATTATTTGGTGATCTATGCATTTCAGTTTGCACAGTATTGTACTTTATATGAAGTAGTTAAATTTGAGGATATATGAATTTCAGTTTGCACATATTTATTTATTTATCTATCACATTTAACCCCTCGCCTACCGGGCACTTATACCCCCTTCCTGTCCAGGCCAATTTCCAGCTTTCTGGAATGACAATTGCGCGGTCATGCAACACTGTACCCATATGAAATATTTATAATTTTTTTCACACAAATAGAGCTTTCTTTTGGTGGTATTTAATCAAGAAGAGAGCAAAAAAAAAGTTTTTCTGTGTTTCTATTATAACATTTTTCAAACAGGTAATTTTTCTCCATCATTGATGTGCGTTGATGAGGCAGCACTGATGAACACAGATAGGCAGCAATGATGGGCACTGATGAGGTGGCACGGATAGGCAGCACTGATGGGCACTGATAGGAGGCACTGATAGGTGGCATTGATAGATGACCCTGATGGGCATCACTGATGGGCACAGGTGGGTGGCACTGATAAGCACAGGTGGGTGGCACTGCAGGGCACAGGTGGGTGGCACTGATGGGCACAGGTGGGTGGCACTGCAGGGCACAGGTGGGTGGCACTGATGGGCACAGGTGGGTGGGACAGGTGGGTGGCACTGCAGGGCACAGGTGGGTGGCACTGATAAGCACAGGTGGGTGGCACTGCAGGGCACAGGTGGGTGGCACTGATAAGCACAGGTGGGTGGCACTGATGGGCACAGTTGGGTGGCACTGCGGGGCACAGGTGGGTGGCACAGGTGGGTGGCACTGCAGGGCACAGGTGGGTGGCACAGGTGGGCAGCACTGCTGGGCACTGATCATCAGGGCACTGATCGTCAGTGCTGATCCCTTCACTGACAATTGCTGGTTCTCGGCAGTACTTTCCTGACACTGTGACAACACGAGGAAAGTGCAGCCGATAACCGGCAACTGTATTTACCCAGTGATTTGCTAAATCATTGGACACTTATCACATGGCAAAAGGCTGCTGTGATTGGCTGCTTACCGTATCACGTGATCAGCTGTGTCCGTAGGACACAGCAATCACTGGCGGCGCCGGGTGCGTGCCGCTTGGGGCGCGCAGGGGGGCATGTTCTGGAATGACATCCATGGATGTTGCCCCAGGATTACACGACTGCGCTGTAGCCATCCTTCAGCTATAGCGCGGTTGGGAACCAGTTAAAGTGAACAGAGCACTTTTTTAATGTGTTGAAATAATTTATTGTGATATTCATGAAGTAGCAGCAGTTCACTTTTCTATTCTTTCATTATTATGTACAGTATAGGGCTAAGCGCAAAGATTGTTTCGCTTTATATATCATCCCATTTCTATAGCATAGATTTGCTTTGATGAATGTATCATATTGTGAAAGTAACATCAGAGCAAGGATTATGGTTCTTGTGTAGGTAAGTTCAGAGGGGAGGAGTTATGCAGGCCACAGACGGGTCGTTTATCGGCCGAATTTTCGTCCGAACAAATAATCAGCCGATATTCGCACTGTTAGTGGGGCAATGTCGTCTGCCGATTTTCGCGGTTCTTCTCGTTTCTTTTATTGGTCATGCTGGAAATTCTACGAAAAACGGCCGTTTTTGATAAGCATTGGTGGCAGTAGAACGACCGATTTTTTTGTTTTTTGATAAACGACCCGTCTATGGCCAGCATTAGATTTAATGTCCCCATTTATGTTAGATGACCATCTATCAACCCAGGCATTTTGTAGCCAGAGTGGCAAATGATCTAATGCCCATTATGTACATTCCGTAGATCACATACATCCCATACATCCCGTACATCCAGTACATCCCATACACCCCGTACATCCCGTACACCCCATACATCCCGTACATCCCGTACACACCATACATCCCGTACATCCCATACACCCCGTACATCCCATACATCCCACACACCCCTACACCCCGTACATCCCCTACACCCCGTACATCCCCTACACCCCGTACATCCCGTACACCCCATACATCCCGTACATCCCATACATCCTGTACATCCCATACACCCATACATCCTGTACACCCCATACATCCCGTACATCCAATACATCCCGTACATCCCATACATCCCATACATCCCGTACACCCCTACACCCCGTACAGCCCCTACACCCCGTACATCTCGTACACCCCGTACATCCCATACTGCCCGTATATCCCATACATCCCATACATCCCTTACACCTCATACACCCCCTACACCCTGTAAATCCTGTACACCCCATACATTCCATACACCCCATCCATTCCGTAGATCACATACATCCCGTGCATCCCCTATACCCCGTACATCCCATACACCCTGTACACCCCATACATCCTGTACTCCCTGTACATCCCATACACCCCGTACATTCCCTATGCCCCCTACACCCCCCCTACATCTCGTACATCCCGTATATCCCGTACAAGCCATACATCCCGTACACCCCATAAATCCTGTATATCCTCTACATCCCGTATATTCCGTACATCCCAAACATTCTGTACACCCTGTATATCCCTGTATCCCGTACATCCCTGTATCTCGTACACCCTGTGCACCTAATATATCCCGTACACTCCGTATATCCCGTACATCTCATACACCCCATACATCCCTGTACACCCCATACATCGTGTACACCCCATACATTCCGTACATCCCGTACACCCCGTTCACTCCATACATTCTGTACATCCCCTACATTTCCATACATCCTGTACATCCCGTACATGCCATACATTCCGTACACCCCATATATCACCATACATCCCGTACACCCTGTACATCCTGTTCACCCCGTACATTCCATATATCCCGTATTTCACGTAATCCCATACACCCCATACATTTCTTACACCACATACATTCCTTACATCCTGTACACCCCATACATTCTGTACATTCCATACATTCCGTATATCCCGTACATCCCATACACCCCGTACATTCTGTACATCCCGTACATCCCATACATTCCGTACACGCCATACATTCCGTACACCCCGTACACCCCGTACATCCCGTACACCCCGTACATCCTGTACACCCCGTACATTCTGTATATCCCGTATATCACGTACATCCCATACACCCCATACGTCCCATAGACCACATACATTCTGTACATCCCGTACACCCCATATATTCTGTACACCCCGTACATCTCGTAGACTCCATACATCCCGTACATCCCATACACCCCGTACATCCCGTATACTCTGTACATTCCGTATATCACGTACACCCCATACATTCTGTACACCCCATACACCCCGTACATCTCTTAGACTCCATACATCCCGTACATCCCATACACCCCGTACATCCCATACACCCCGTACATCCCGTATACTCTGTACATTCCGTATATCACGTACACCCCATACATTCCGTACACTCCATACATCCCGTACACCCCATACATTCTGTACATCTTGTACACCCCATAGATTCCGTACATCCTGTACACCCCATACATTCCGTACATCCTGTACACCCCACACATTCCATACGTCCTGTACACCCCATACATTCTGTGCACCCCATACATACCATACATTCTGTACGACAAGCAGATATTCTGACAGGTCTGCAGGAGACCTGTATGGCATCAGCGATCTACTGAACCCTGGTGCAATGCTTTCCAGGCTCCTCTGGACAAAAATAATAAATGCACATTTTTTTACCTGCAAAAGGTGAACTTATCCTTTAATCAGTGTCCTATCACTCTAATATCTATAGAGGCAGTGAAGTTGACAGGCTAACATTTAAAGATTGGCATTAAGATATGAAGTTAAAATGTAGTAGTTGACCTTGATGAGTTTATGAGTAAAGTTAGAGGTTGGTTTGAGGATAACTATGAGGGTTAGGGATTAGTGTTGAGCTGAAAGTTGGCAGCTAAGGTCAAGTAAAGGTTGACATGTAGCATTAGGCAGGCCACAGATAATGCGATTTTCTTTCCTGTAACCCATGTGTTGATGGGGGAGTCCCTTCCGTGGAGCTTTTGTGTGTTCCCAGCTGGGGGAGTGAGCAGCCCTCCCTGCCAGGAGAACGCAGTTATTACTGCTAGCAGCTATAGCCTCTGGCTATAAATCATATGTTAAAAATCTAACACGATGGTTGTATCCAAGTTGATCAATGGATCGACCTGAGTACAATCAGCCTGCCGATAGATGGTTCTAATCTCAAAAGGTTCCCTGCTAAACCGGCTGAGATTTGAACCATCTATTTCCAGTTTTAGGAATTAGAGAATAGATTATGATTTAGTGATAGGATAAAGATAGGTTACTTAAAGTGTTACTAAACCCACAACAGTACAGTCAGTCTGTAGATGCAGTAAAGCATGCTTGTTATACTCACTGTGGAACCTAAGGGGCTAATCCTCTGCATTGTGTAAAAAGGCAGTTTGATCCTTTCTTCTCTGCCCCTCCTCTTGTTCAAATGTCCACCTGATAAGACAGAGTGAACCCGTAGCCACATGCACATGCTCAGTTTAGTGTGTATTACGTTTTTTTAGTGTGTATTGTGTTTTTTTCTTGGGAGAGTGCATGTGATCAGCACAGATCCAATTAGCACTGTCCAGACAGAGGTCAGGGGTTCTGCATCCACCTAGAGAAAACTCCTCCTACAAGCTTTAACCAGTGCTCTGCTGGACACTGATAGAAGTCACAAGACTGCTCTATACTGCTGATGAGAAAAGGTATATAGCAGTTTATATTTACTAAAATAATTGCATTTCCATGTTTGTGTACTGTGAGAGACCATATTATAGTGAATGCGAGGTCCAGGGAGAGCAGATATAGTGAATGCAGGGTCCGGGGAGAGCGGATATAGTGAACGCGGGGTCCAGGGAGAGCGGATATAGTGAATGCAGGGTCCGGGGAGAGCGGATATAGTGAATGCGGGGTCCAGGGAGAGTGGATATAGTGAATGCGGGGACCGGGGAGAGCGGATATAGTGAATGCAGGGTCAGGGAAGACCAGATATAGTGAATGCCGGGTCCGGGGAGAGTGGATACAGTGAATGCTGGGTCCGGGGAGAGTGGATACAGTGAATGCGGGGTCCAGGGAGAGCGAATATAGTGAATGCAGGGTCCGGGGAGACCGGATATAGTGAATGCAGGGTCCGGGGAGAGTGGATATAGTGAATGCGGGGTCCGGGGAGAGCGGACATAGTGAATGCAAGGTCCTTGGAGAGTGGATATAGTGAATGCAGGATCCGGGAGAGCGGATATAGTGAATGCAGGGTCCGGGGAGAGTGGATATAGTGAATGCGGGGTCCGGGGAGACCGGATATAGTGAATGCAGGATCCGGGGAGAGCGGATATAGTGAATGCGGGGTCCGGGGAGAGCGGACATAGTGAATGCAGGGTTCTTGGAGAGTGGATATAGTGAATGCAGGGTCCGGGGAGAGCAGAGATATAGTGAATGCAGGGTCCAGGGAGAGCGGATATAGTGAATGCAGGGTCCGGGGAGAGCGGATATAGTGAATGCAGGGTCCGGAGAGACCGGATATAGTTAATGCAGGGTCCGGGGAGACCAGATATAGTGAATGCAGGGTCCGCGGAGACCAGATATAGTGAATGCAGGGTCCAGGGAAAGCAGATATAGTGAATGCGGGGTCTGGGGGGAGCGGATATAGTGAATGCAGGGTCCGGGGAGAGCGGATATAGTGAATGCGGGGTCCGGGGAGAGTGGATATAGTGAATGCAGGGTCCGGGGAGAGCGGATATAGTGAATGCAGGGTTCGGGGAGAGCGGATATAGTGAATGCGGGGTCCGAGGAGAGTAGATATAGTGAATGTGGGGTCCGGAGAGAGCAGATATAGTGAATGCAGGGTTCGGGGAGAGAGGATATAGTGAATGCGGGGTCCGAGGAGAGTAGATATAGTGAATGCAGGGTCCGAGCAGAGTAGATATATAGTGAATGCGGGGTCCGGGGAGAGCGGATATAATGAATGCAGGGTCCGGGGAAGAGCAGATATAGTGAATGCGGGGTCCGGGAAAGTGGATTTAGTGAATGCGGGGTCGGGGAGAGCGGATATAGTGAATGCAGGGTTCGGGGAGAGCGGATATAGTGAATGCGGGGTCCGGGAGAGCGGATATAGTGAATGCAGGGTCCGGGAAGAGCAGATATAGTGAATGCAGGGTCCGGGGAGAGTGGATATATAGTGAATGCGGGGTCCGGGGGAGAGCGGATATAGTGAATGCGGGGTCCGGGGAGAGCGGATATAGTGAATGCAGGGTTCGGGGAGAGCGATATAGTGAATGCGGGGTCCGAGGAGAGCGGATATAGTGAATGCGGGGGTCCGGGGAGAGCGGATATAGTGAATGCAGGGTCCGGGGAGAGCGGATATAGTGAATGCGGGGTCCGAGGAGAGCGGATATAGTGAATGCGGGGTCCTGGGAGAGCGGATATAGTGAATGCGGGGTCCGGGGAGAGCGGATATAGTGAATGCGGGGTCGGGGAGAGCGGATATAGTGAATGCGGGGTCCAGGGAAAGCGGATATAGTGAATGCGGGTCCGGGGAGAGCGGATATAGCAAATGCGGGGTCCGGGGAGAGCGGATATAGTGAATGCGGGGTCCTGGGAGAGCGGATATAGTGAATGCGGGGTCCGGGGAGAGCGGATATAGTGAATGCGGGGTCCGGGAGAGCGGATATAGTGAATGCGGGTCCAGGGAAAGCGGATATAGTGAATGCGGGGTCCGGGGAGAGCGGATATAGCAAATGCGGGGTCCGGGGAGAGCGGATATAGTGAATGCAGGGTCCTGGGAGAGCAGATATAGTGAATGCAGGGTCCAGGGAGAGCGGATATAGTGAATGCAGGGTCCAGGGAGAGCGGATATAGTGAATGCAGGGTCCTGGGAGAGCGGATATAGTGAATGCAGGGTCCGGGGAAGAGCGGATATAGTGAATGCAGGGTCCTGGGAGAGCAGATATAGTGAATGCAGGGTCCGGGGAGAGCGGATATAGTGAATGCAGGGTCCCGGGGAGAGCGGATATAGTGAATGCAGGGTCCAGGGAGAGCGGATATAGTGAATGCAGGGTCCGGGGAGAGCGGATATAGTGAATGCAGGGTCCGGGGAGACCGGATATAGTGAATGCGGGGTCCTGGGAGAGCAGATATAGTGAATGCAGGGTCCGGGGAGAGCGGATATAGTGAATGCGGGGTCCGGGGAGAGCGGATATAGTGAATGCAGGGTCCGGGGAAAGCGGATATAGTGAATACAGGGTCCAGGGAGACCAGATATAGTGAATGCGGGGTCCGGGGAGAGCGGATATAGTGAATGCAGGGTCCAGGGAGAGCGGATATAGTGAATGCGGGGTCCGGGGAGAGCGGATATAGTGAATGTAGGGTCCGGGGAAAGCGGATATAGTGAATACAGGGTCCAGGGAGAGCGGATATAGTGAATGCGGGGTCCGGGAGAGCGGATATAGTGAATGCGCGGTCTGGGGAGAGCGGATATAGTGAATGAGGGGTCCGGGGAGAGCGGATATAGTGAATGCGGGGTCCGGGGAGAGCGGATATAGTGAATGTGGGGTCCGGGAAGAGCGGATATAGTGAATGCAGGGTCTGTGGAGAGCAGATATAGTGAATGCGGGGTCCAGGGAGAGCGGATATAGTGAATGTGGGGTCCGGGGAGAGCGGATATATAGTGAATGCAGGGTCTGTGGAGAGCAGATATAGTGAATGCAGGGTCCAAGGAGAGCGAATACAGTGAATGCGGGGTCCTGGGGGTTTATATGGTGGCTGGTAGCCTGAGAGGGACAGTTTCCCTCTCAGGCCACCAGCTTCCTAGTAACTAGTGTCACATCCTTGCCTGGCTATTCAGCTAACAGATGCGGATTCCGGGCAGCAAGGCCTTACGGATATTTGCTGATGTCATTGACCAAATATAGCCATGGTCATATTTGATGGGTGAAGCCAACCACAAGCCCCGCCCCTTTGTTTACATTCAGCCCCAGCCAGGACTCCTATCTGACAGCTGAATGGCCAGGAGGGAATGTTTCACTAGTTCCTGGGACTCCCTAATAACCAGCTTGAGTGGGAAGCTGTCACACCTAGCAGTGGTTGTAATACTCATGTTCAGGTAGGATTTTACATGGTGACGTCCACTGCAGCCAGATGTTCAGCTTGGTGGGTGCCGAACGCCTCATTTATTTTGCCCAAATGCTGAACATGTAAAACTCAGACTAAATATGGGCTCAGTCTATATCTGGACACTCATTTTTAAATAATATAGATATTTAATGGTTTACAAAATATTTATTGCAGTTTTATGTGTTCTCCTTTACTTTCAGACTTTGAAAATAGGACAACATGTCTTCTACTGAGGAAGCCTCACAAGCTATAAGGAATTTGAAAGAAAAATTAATAGAAATTTTTGAAAAGAATGTGCATGATTTGTATGATGTGCTGGACTCACTCGATCTTCTGTCGTTGGAAGAATTTTTGGCCCTCTATGATGAAGATCTTCCTGTCAAAAGTGAGAAGATGATAGATATTATACTTCAGAAGGGAGAGTCAGCTTCAAGAACATTTCTGGATCATCTGCAGAGACTATGATTATCAGGTTCCCTGAATTGTCCAGTTTGCCTCTCTTCAATCAAGAAGGTAAGAAAATGTTTTAAATGTTTTTAAACCCAAAAAACAAAAAACGTGTATATTGCAGCATATACTGTAACTCCATAATTGTGGTGAATGCATTCGTTTTCTTTTTTTCCAGGCTTTTTTCCCTTGTTTTTCAACTCGTGATTGTGCAAGTAACACATTTCCTGCTCTAGGGTGATAATGCTCATTCACCAAGTGGATGAGCTTTATGTGTTTCTGAACTTCAGAGCACCTACCTCTCTTATATATAACATGAGAGTCTAATCTGCATAGATAGCTGAGAACAATGTTATTTATACACTCAGCAGAGGAAGAGAGCACAGGATGTGATCAGCTCACAAGAATTATTTTTTTTCACTTAACCAGCCAAATAAAAATGGAATTGTAGTAAAATTTAAACAAATTTCACTTTATTAACAACAGCACTTTGTTAAAAAAAAAACTTATGTTAGAATTTGTAATTCTATTTTATGTAAAATGCACGTCCAAATTTCAACAAGCGGGTCACTAACTCCTTAGCGGATTGCCGGAAATAATATCTGGTGGTTTCACGTCTTTAGAAAACTAAACTCAGCTGTTTACCAGGTCAAAGACAATGTGGTGGAACCAGTACCAGGACAGGCTCATCCAGCGCCCAGGGCAAGGATTTGGAACTGCGCCCCCCTCTCCCACTGCTAATGCATGTTGTAGAATGGGTGTACCGCCCTTCATTTATTCTTTGCCCTCTTGCTCTGTTGAACCCAGGGCTGCTTCCCCTTCCTGCTCACCCTTTGTCCTGGCCCTGGGGTGGAACCTTTATACTGCTATCAAAAGCAAAACCTTATTAATTTTTGTTTGAACAAAGTAAGGAAGTGTTGAAATCCCAATCAGTTTATCTTTTGTTCTCTGTGTCTCAATTAGGAGATTTTTCTTTCCCTAACTCTCCCAAAGATACAGCAGAAGTGAAAAAAATCTCTACAAAACATTGTCACTGCAACAGTTTTTCCCTATTCGGAAGCGTTTGCCATTTACCGACTGAAAAACTCATTGGCCCCCGGGCATGGGGGATCAT